AGAAAAAAGAAAAAAAAAGGTATAAAGAATCTGTAAGAGCCAGATGTGGTGACACATGTCCTTAATCCCAACACTCCGGAGGCAGAGGCAGACAGACCTTTATGAGTTCAAGACCAGCCTAGTATACATAGTGAGTTCTAGGTCAGTCAAGGCTACATTGTAAGACTCTGTTAAAAAATAAATATGTAAGTGAAAGACATATTCTTGTTAATTCTAATTTTCTTCATTCCTAGTAAGCCATATTAATTTCAAAGGCTAACCTTCTGAAAAAAAACAACTTGGTATTCACTTCATGGCGCAAAATACCAGGGTACAGTTAAAATTTCACAGAAACAAGAATTTCCATGTGTGACTAAAAGAAAAAATGCTGGCAAACAGTGCACAATGCTAACCCATGGAGAGCTTTTTCATAAGTAGAAAAAAAATTTATACTGATTATGGTGGTGCACAACTGAGGCAGGAGGGTAGATGTGAGTTTGAGGGTTGAGACCTGGCTACATAGTCAAGACCCTGTCTCAAAAAAAGTTTTATTTTAATTGAGGCAGGGTCTCTCCATATCCCCACCTGGCCTGGAACTTGTTATGTAGATCAGGCTGGCCTTGATCTCACAGAGGGTCACCTGCCTCTGCCTTCTGCATGCTAGGAGTAAAGGTATGCTCTACCATGCTTAGCCAAAAAAATATTTTTTTAAGGCAACTGCTTGCATGGCTTCTACATAGTACCATGCAACCTGCCTTCTTTTCTGAAACCTAATTAAGAAAAATACAACTTTTCCTTCTTTTTAATTTCTTTCCTAAGCATGCTTCCTTAACCTCTGAAGTCCCTGCACCTGTGTCATCCACGTGTGTGTGTGTGTGTGTGTGTGTGTGTGTCCCAAGTCCTCTCTCCAGCTTTTCTCCATGTTGCAGTTTCTTCTCTTCCAAGATTTTTATTTTAAGATGGGCGTGGTGGCTCACACCTTTAATCTCAGCACTTGGGAGACAGAGGCAGGTTGGTCTCTGTTGAGTTCAAGGCTAGCCTGGTCTACAAAGCAAGTTCCAGGCCAGCTGGAGCTATAGGGGAACCCTGTCTCAAAAAGCCCCCCCCAAAAAGGGATTTTTTTTTAGTTCATTTATTATTTTTATTTTATGTGTATGAGTGTATTGCCTGTATATGTGTAATATGTGTCATTCAATGCCTGTGGAGGTCAGAAGAAGGTATTAGATCCCCCGGAACTGGAGTTATAGATGGCTGTTAGCCACCATGTGGGTGCTGGGAATAGAACCCAGGTCCTCTGTAAAAGCAGTCTGTGCTCTTAACCACTCAGATGGCTCTGAGCCATCTCTCCAGCCCCTTCTCTTCCAAGATTTACAGCTTGCCTATCTATTGTTTTTCTTTTAAACTTTAACAAAAAATGTCCTAAGAGTTTAAAAAACAACATTTAAGGCCAGCAAGATGCCACAAGACTGGCAACCTGAGTTCCATCCGTAGAACACACATGAAGTGGAAGGACAGCACCAACTCCATAACATTATCCTTCAACCTACACGTAAGTATTATGGCACAAACACACACACACACACACACACACACACACACACACACACACACACAATACTTTTTTTCAAATTAAGGGGCTGGAAAGATGGCTCAGCAGTTAAGAGCTCTTGATGCTCTCACAGAATGCACAAACATAGCAATTAACAACCATCTGTAACCCCAGTTCCAGGGGATCTGATGCCTTTTTCTGGCCTCTGAGGGCATGTGGTACACTTTCATACATGCAGGCAAAACACTCATACATATAAAATACAAGGGTTTTTTTTTTTTTCTGGCTTTTTGAGACAGTGTCTCCCTGTAGCCCCAGCTGGCCTGGAACTATGTAGACCAGGCTGGCCTCGAACTCACAGAAATCCACCTGCCTCTGCCTCCAGAATGCTGGGATTAAAGGCACGCACTACCATGTCCAGCTTATAAAATACAAATTTAAAAACTGTCAGGTAAATTGGGAGTTAAAGATCATTGTAAGTTACACAGTGAGTTTGAAGCCAGCCTGAGGTACATGAGACCCTGTCTCAAACCCCTACTTCCTCCACCCTAAGAAAACAAACAGAAAAGAAAGTTACTACTCAGGAAATCTGAAATTAAAACAAATACTAGAATGGTCCACTAGTGAAACACTTTTTGGGGGCACAGACACAGAAAAAAACACTGAAGAATTAGTTGAGAGCTGGGCATGGTGGTGCATATCTTTAGCCAAGTAGAGGCAGGCATATCTCTGTGAGATCAAGATCAGCCTGATCTACATGGTGAGTTCCAGGCCAGTTGTGGCTACAGGGAGACCCTGCCTCAACAAACAAAAACAAAAACAAAAAAAAGAATTAGTTGACAAAGTATTTCTTTTTTTTTGCGGGGGGGAGCTATTGAGAATTGATCCCAGAGCCTTGTGGGGGTAAAGTATTTCTTTATGTTAGTTTGTTTCTACTGAGATTAAACTGGAATACAAAAATTATCTTTACTGTATTTTCATCTTCATCATTAGTCAACAAAATAGATTCCTTCTCATATAACTTTTTCCATTCAAAGCAAATCCTATTAGTGTTATTTTTATCTTCCTATTAGTTTAATCATTCAACTCAAAAATCTTCCAACCACAAAATTCCAACTCTTAGACAGGTGCTCTCTCTCTGGGTTTTGGTATAGAGTAGCCCTGGCTGGTCTGGTATTCTTCGGTAGCCCAGGATGGCCTCAAATTCATGGCAATCAAACTTAGGGCAATTCCTCTGCCTCAGCTTCCCATGTGCTGGGATTACAGATGTGAGCCACTACAACTGGCTTTAGATAGGTTCTCTACCTCTTTTCACCACCTTACATTTTTATCCTACTGCCTCATCCTCTCTTAAATGTGATTTTAGTCTTTAAAGACTGTACCCTACCAGTTTCATGAAGATTGGCAGACGTGGTAAACTGAGTGGCAGACATCTCCCCACTGCTAAGATTCAAAAGATCAAGGCAATGTCTTGGGGTTCCTCTGTTGAGACATAAGAGTATACCAATATTCCCATTAGGCTATATCCATGAAAGGTCAAGATCATGTCTTCATTTGAAATCTCTCTGAATTACTATCACAAAATCTAAACAGTATCCAAATAAATCTAATTCCTATTTGGAAATATTTCAGGCTGGGTTGAGAAAAAAAAAAATCTCCCACTTTTTCTCTAATAAATGTGAGCCTCATTTCCTCTTCACTGATATATTGAGTTAGACTCTTTTTCTATTTTTAAATTATGTGTATGTCTGTGTATGGGTATGTGCATGTGAGTGCAGGTGCCCTTGGAGGCCAGAGTCATTGCATTTCCCTGTAACTGTAGTTATAAGCAATTTTGAGCCTCTAGATGTGGGTGCTGGGAGCCAAACCAGCTCCTCTGTAAGAGCAGCACCACTCTTAACCACTGAGCCATCTCTCCAGACCTTAAATTTTTTTTAATGAGGGTCTAAGTTTATTGAGCAGGAACTTTTAATTTTGTTATTATATTTTACTTATTACTTATTTGTGTGTATGTGTGTGTTGTGTGTGTGCATCATGGCACATATGTGTGCCGGTCAGAGGACAACTTACAGGAGTCAGTTCTTCTACCATGTTTCCCAGGGAGCCAACTCAGGTCATCAGGCTTGGCAGCAGGTGCCTTCACCCAACCAGCAATCTTACCTACCTAGTGAGCAGAATCCTGACCCCACCCTCTTTATCCTGTTTATCTGAACACAAAGAGTTCATTTCTCCCCAGAGTCTCTAGTACTTCTCAAATACTTATTTGTTAGTGAGGTATAAAGACATAGCATGGCCACAATTTAAAGTACATTAATACTAATACTATCAAAGTGACTAACTCACATATGTAATAGAGTTTTTAGATTTTTTTTATTCCCAGACATCACATTGATTCTGACAAGACAGGAAAAAATTATTCCTAGTAAGACCAAAATTTCCTTTCTTCTTGTTTGCTTGCTTTTTGTCATAGGGTTTCACTCTATAGCCCACTGGTTGTCCTGGAATTCACTATGTAGCCTAGGTGGCTTTGATCTTCTGGTAATCCTGCCTCAGCCTCCTGAGTGGTGAGATTACAAAATGTACCACCAAGCTCCATACAGAAAAAGGGTTTTGGGTTTTTGTTTTGTTTTGTCTTTTTTTGAGACAGCGTCTCCCTGTAGCCCCAGCTGGCCTGGAACTCATTATAGACGAAGCTGGCCTTGAACTCAGAGATCCACCTGCCTCCAGAGTGCCGGGATTAAAGGCATGTACTACCACACCAGGCTAGAAAAAGATTTTTGTTGTTTTATTTCATAGACAAGCTTGAGACTCAAAAAGATCACAGAGTCAAGGTCAGAGCTGATACTTAAACTCTGAGCCTGGATAATTAAACAAATAAACAAACCTGTTCAGAAAAGCAAAGGAGATAAGGTGTCAAAATAAATACAAACTTACCCAGACAAAATGCTTAGGTTTGCGGAGTCAAGGAGTTTGTCTCCTGGAGATTTAGGGAAATCTGGACAGACCGTAAAAGAATTCTCGCTCTCCAAGAGCAGGTGTAACATTTTCCTCTGACTGGATTTAAAACTGGGTCCTGAGACAGACCTTGCCTCTTCTCTTGTGAATGGAACGAGTCCGGTAGACATGGCCTGGGGGCGGGGCGGGGGGGGGGAGAAAAAAAACTAGCTAGTAAAAGAACATCACAGACGTACAATTTTTCCAGCCTCCTCCATTCTTTCCAGTGCCCAGATTAGCACTGGAGGAGGGGCATCCAAAAAGGTTGAATTACATCCAGGCTGGAATGAATGTCATATTGTACTTGGCCTTTACCTTGAAACCCGATTTGGAATTTAAGATCCTCCCGCCTCTGCCCCGGAGTGTTGAGTTAAAGGCGTGCATCACAACCCGGCCCTTATTTTATTTATTTTTATTTTAACTATGTGTATGTCTATATGTGGGTATGTGCACTAAGTGCTAGTGCCCGCGGAGGACAGAGACATCAGAGGTATCGGATCCTCTGGAGCTGGAGTTAAGGGAGTTGTGAGCCGCCTAGGTGCTGGGAACGGAGCTGGTGTATTCCGCGGGAGTCGTCTGAGCTCTTAGTCCCTGAACACCCGCTCCAGCTCAGGACATTAAGATGGAACGAAGAGAAGACTAGCTTGATCCAGACCACCCAGCTTGACCGAAAGAAAGTCGGGTCTCCTAACTTGCGATAATGCCAATTTGGACCTCAGGCCCTGACGGCCGCCAACGAGGACAACTGGGTCTCGACGATGCCCTGAAGTAGACAACCTCCGCTTACCTCGTTTACAGCAGGACTTGCCTTTGAAGAAAAGAATTCCGGCGTGACTGGACTGAAGCGAAAACCCCACCGAATGACTGGAAGTCTGAGGAAAAGCCACAGCTTACCAGACCAGGCTAGGCTAGGGCGAGGTCAAGTTGGACCCTAGTCCCTAGACCTGACCATTCAAAACCTTCCGCCCTCTCAACAACCTATCATCGCCCTCCTCCAAGCAGCGTCGGCCCATCTCCACGCGCCTGCCTACCGACCCTTGCCTCGACCAATCGTGAATCCCGTACCTCCGCGACTGGTAAGCACACAGAGATCCCGTTGCTCATTGGCTCGCCCTCTGGCCAATCGCCGCGCCCTTCCTGTGCTCTGTTCCTGCGGCACACCAACCCCGGGAGATTTAAATTGAGCCTGGCAAACTATGACTGACCCTTGGGAATTGTGTTTGAGTGGAAGTGCTTCATTCTCCTTATTCCTTTCTTGTGTCTTTTCTCTTTAGTTTTGTTAGCCTTCCGCTGGAAATGGATCGTTTGCCGCCGGTGTGGCTTGTGTTGGGGGATGACAGGTGTGAGTTTATATGGCGCGGCATTGGCCCCTTCTCCGGAGTTTTCTGGGTAAAAATTCTCTTTCAGGGAAAGGAAGGAAATTGAACCTTTTGGGGTAATCCTTACGACAGACAGCATAAAGGATTTTAAACTTTGGCTGTCAATGTTCAAATTTTCACAAACAGCCAAAGTTTAAAATCCTTTACATCTGAGTGCTGGGCATGGTGGCTTCATTTCTATAAGTCCAACACTCAGGAGGCTGAGGCAGGAGGATAGTCGTGAATTTGAGGCCATCCTGAGCCACAGGGTGAGTTCAGGCTAGCCTGAGCTAGAGACCCTGCTTTAAAAACAAACAAACAACAAAAAAAAAAATCGCTGGCCATGGTGGCAGACCTGTAGTCCCAGCACTTGGGAGGCAGAGGCAGGCGGATCTCTGAGTTCAAGGCCAGCCTGGTCTACATAGTGAGTTCCAGGACAGCTGGGGCTTACAGGGAGACCCTGCTTCAAAAAGATCAAAAAAAAAAAAAAAACAGTCATTATTATTATTATTAATGGAACCCAGGGCATGGAGCATGCTAGACAAGCACTGTTATTTGGCTGTCACCCCAGTCCTAGATATTCTTAATGTTATTTGTTTTCAAATCTTGTTCGAACAAGAGTAGATGTTGATGAGATAATTGACTTAGAGTGTGGGATGATGACTGGGTAGAAATCTTTAATGTACATACTAACCACCTGGAGATCATGCGCTAATTCAGATTCAGTAGGTCAGGTCTGGGTTGGGCCCAAATTCTACACTTCTAACAGGTTGTCAGCTGATTTTAATGCCTCTGGTCCTGAGTTCATACTCTGTAGCAAGGCATGTTATACTCCTTTTTTTGTGTTTCAAGACACAGTCTCACTATTTAGCCCAGGCATGTCTTGAACTCGAAATTCCCCTACTTCAGGTTTAAGCTATCACAGTCATCCAATTTACTGCACTCTGGTATACATTTGAAATTTTCCTCTTTCTCTCTCTCTCTCTTTTTTTTTTTTTTTTTTTGTCTTTGGGTTTTTGTTATTTATTTTGTTTGTTTTGTTTTGGTCTTTTTGAGACAGGGTCTCCCTGTAGCCACAGCTGGCCTGAAGCCTACTATATAGATCAGTCTTGCACTATGTAGATCACAGAGATCTGCCTACCTCTGTCTCCAGAGTGCTGGGAGTAAAGGTCTGGGCCACCACTCCTGGCTCTTTTCTTTCTTTTTTGTTATTTGAGACAAGGTCTTGTTGTATAGCCCTGGTTGGCCTCAAACTCATGATTCTCCTGCCCCAACCTCCTGAATTCTAGGATGACAGGCATGTGTTACCATATCTATCTTAAAATTTTTCACACATAAAAATATTTAAGTTAGGCCAGGTATGGTGGCCCATACTTTTAGTTAATCCCAGGACTCTGGAGGTAGAGATAGGTGAATGTCTGTAAGTTTGAGACCAGCCTGGTCTACATTGCAAGTTCTAGACCAGCCAGGGTTAGGGTTACACACTGAGACCCTGTCTCAGAGAAAAAGAAAAAGGCCTCTACAATGATAAAATGATCCAATAGGTCTATAGGGTAGGACCCAGGAATTATAAAGGCTGCCAGGCACTACCCTTAAAAATAGTATACAGACTATGTTTCGAGAAACAAAAGTCAAAACTACAACTTTAAAAACTGGACATTGATAGGCCAGGCGTGGTGGTGCACACCTTTAATCCCGGCACTCATGAGGCAGAGGCAGGCGGATCTCTGTGAATTCAAGGCCAGTCTGGTCTACATAGTGAGTTCCAGGACAGCTGGGACTACAGGGAGACCTTGTCTCAAAAAGAACACCCCCCCCAAAAAAAAAAAAAAAAAAAAAGCTGGACGGTTGATAGGTAAAGTACGCAATGGATGAATCTGGTTGATCAGGAGAAAGCACCAGGACACAGATAAAACTCCATTGGAATAGAGTTTATTCTCAAAGGAACACATGGAACAGATTTGCTTCTGGGCAGGGAAAATGTCTGCCCCGGTCGTGAGCTGAGGTCTTTTATAGGGGGAGGCTTCTGGGGGGTGTGTGCAGAAGGCGGGAAGATATATATTTTTTAAAAGTTAGGCAGGGCAAGTGGGAGAGCGGGACTGTTAAAACCTGCTCCCTTCTGTCTGTCAGCCAGGATCTGGGTCAGGATGTGTTTGTTTTTGTCCTCTTAAGATAAGGGGAAAACTGCCATGCTGAAGTGGCTCCTGAGTCTCTGATTAAAAGGTAGAATCTGTTTATCTTGTCTTCAGAGATCAAAGGAAAAGCAAGCTGCCTTTTATGAGTCTGCTTTTCTTGACTTTAAAGACCAGGGTGCTTATCAACTTGGTTCCCTTTTCTCAGGGTCTTGTGAGGTCCTTGAGGCCCTGTTGGTGATGGGTTGGGGCTATCTGAACCTTAACATTCCAGCCTTTTGTGTTATAGGATAGGGGGCACCGTTGTCTTCTTGCTACTTCTTGCTGGACAGGGTCGACGTGGGGGGCTGGATTAGGGGTTGATCAGACAGCCAGGGTTCTCTCTTCATGCATCTCAACAGTGTCTTTTTTTTTTCTTCTACCAAGGCTGGGCTCCAGAGTAATGGACTCAGGATTTGTTTTCAGGCATTTTGATAGCTGTTGGAGTGGCTAGAATCAGTGTCAGTTACCTCTCAAAG